TCTGCCTTTGTCAGCTTTCCTGCCTTAGGTTCAGAGAACATTCTCACACGCCGAAGACCCTTCCTGACCTTCTGCCGCACCTGTCTGGGTCCTCTCCAGCAACAGGTGATCCCGTGTCTGGGCTCACTCACAGAACCACAAGCCTCAGGGCCCTGCTCCCCAGCCCTCACCATCCCAGGGTCACGGGGCCTCCCTGCTCTCAGTAATCCTGCTCTTCTTTTGCGTTGGATTTTCCAAAGCAGTCGTTTTAAATCTTTTCCCTTCTCCTTATGACTTCTGTTCCACCCGCCTCCTCAGGAATGAGCCGTCCACTGAGAAGATGAGGGCATCTGTATTGTCTACTTCCCTCCATGAGACTGAAATGTGCTTGTTGCTACTTCCTTCTAACTGCTCTGCTGTCTCAACTGAGGTTCCCTTCTACCCTTTTCCATGGGCTCTTCAGCCACTCTTTCTGTCTCCTCAAGCACCCTGACTCCTGTCTTTCTTGTACTTTCAGTATGTCCTTTTGCTTCACCTATTATTTTCTTAAAAAAAAAAAAAAAAAAAATGGCCAGCCTACTAGAAAGGGCAGTCTCTACTCACAGCCCCACATGTAAACCTACACTATCCGTGGCCTCCACCTGCGGAAACGCTCTCACGCCCTCCCGACCACCAAAGCCAGTGGCTTTGCTTGGCCCACATCCTTCTTGGCGTTACTGCGGCACCTCAGACTCAGCGGGATCAGAAGTGAAATTCCTCTTCCTCCCGTTCCCTCCACTGCTGACGGCTCTCCCACGCCTCCCGGGGAAGGCCAAGGCCTCCTGCTCATCCCCACCTCAGCTGAGTTATCAAGCCTCCCTTCTTCCCACCACCACGTCTGCGTCACTCAGGACGCGACTTCTCCGCGGCCACGGCCACCGGCATCTCTTGTTCAGGCCCCGTGCGCGTCGGCCAACACACCACCCCGGTCTCCTGGGCTCTGTTCCCCGGGCTGCCAGGGCCTTCACAGACCCTCCACTGTCTCTCCAATCAAATTCTAAGACTCTCGCCTGAGAATGAAGGCCTTCTAAGAACTGGCTCCAGCCTCTATTTCCAGATGTCGTGACCTTCCCCTCTGCCATTTCATTTCATGGACTTCACGTTTCGTTTGAACTCTGGCAGGACTCACAGCTCCCAGAACCTGGCCTGCACTTTCTCACCTCCTTGCCCGAAACCAGGCCGGTCCGTCCACTTGTAATGCTCAACACTGTCTTTACTTATTGAAATCCTATTTTTCTCTTTTGAGATTTGGAAAAGACGCCATGTCTTCCCGTCTCCACAGCTGCTAAGTATTCATTCGCTCCCCGAACTTCCAGAGGTCAAATAGGCTCTTCTCTTTCTTACCCTTAACCCATGGTCTCCAGTATTATAGTTACCTGTGCTCTGGCCCCATGGGCCCTATTAGATTGCAAGTTCTTGGGGACAGTGATGGTAACGGCGGCCATAACAGTACCCATCGCCACACAAGCTCCTACCACCTTTCGGCTCTGTGCAAAGCATACAACCTCACCTCAGCAACCCTAGGAGGAGAGCCTCCATCCTCAGATGAGATCAGGTAACATGCCCAAGGCGGACGGACACCCAAGGAGTGGGAGAGCCAGAAACAGAATTTAGGCTTGTCTGACTTCAAAACCCATGCTCTTAACTACTAGGTGGTATTTCTCACCACCCACAGACTCAACCAATAACTACTGAATAAAGCCTCGTCTCCATGAGTCCTGGTAGATGGGACAGTTCACTGAGCTGGGTTCCCCAGAGTTGCAGACTCTGCCTAGCCAATACATACATTAATAGGGAGAAGGCACAGACAGTTTAGGGTCTCTCAGAGGACGCTTTAAAAATATAGAAGAAAGTTTTTATGCCTCAAGACTTAGGAACATCAGGTGCACAAGGAGAGAAAAACCTGATTCACCTGGATTGGGTAATAACCTGGTTTTGTCTCTTTCCTTGGAACCACTCATGTCAGTGAGGCAATGAATCAAGACTACTCCAAGAGCCCTACTTAGATCATTTAGACAATGTTTAGTAGAAAATTCTGTCATCTGACGCTCTGCCACCAGCCCTGGGAAAACATGACAACCATACTCTGCTGACAGAGTCAGGACCAATGCAAATGTGGGGTCCTACTGCACGTGTGCACAGGAAAATACCGCATGGCACACACAGGTAGGAGGTAGAGACAAACTGTGGTTGCTGCTTTCTAGATGCAAGTGGCTAAGGGCTGTAATCCTCCGAAGGGAATGTCATTATGCAGCTCAAATCCCATCACAACAAATACCCTTACAACAGAGATATCTGTATAACAAAAATCCTTTCAAGCTTTGGCTGACAGCCCACGTACTTCAAGCAATATTTGATGTGAGATTTGGAGTCCACAGTAATGGGAATTGACCTATATTTCCAAAGGTAAGATTTTAACGATTTCATCTGTAAATTCTCTCCCATGGTACCATGAGTTGGAATGATGTACGATCTAAGCCCATGAGCATGAAAACCAAACACAAAGCCAAGGACCAAATCAACCTTGCTCGTGAAGGGCAGAAGTCCTTCCTTTCATCTGGGGAGCACTGAGGTACAGGAGAAGGCCTCTGACCCACACCCCGACATGGAGCAGAACAAAGATGGTGTGTGGCCTCCTTTCCCTGAGGTGAGCACATGGCGGTACAGCGTGTGAAGACAGAGCACCGTGTTCAAATTCTGACTTACTAGCTGGGCCCCCCTGGACTGTTGCTTAACTTCCACAGGGCCTCCATTTCCTCATCTGTAAAATGTGACAAACATCACCTACTCTCAGGATTTCGGCAAGAACTGAAGGAAATGACTCCTAAAACAGGGCCTGGTGCATAGCATACGTGCTCACAAAAGTTCGTTCCCTCCTCGTGCCTCCCCTCCAAGACTCTGGGCTTATGCATACTATTTAAATGAGGCTAGTTTAAGACCTAGTGAATGAGGTCAACAAAATGTATAGTCTCAAACACAGCCTGGTCAAGACAGTGCTCAGTGGAACGCTGGGGAAAAAAGAGAAAATGGCAGAAGAACCAGAGCATGCACACTTTCATGACTGAAAGGAGGGTCTTCTGGCTAATGCAAGCTCTGTGTAAAATAAAATGCAAGTAATCAGGCAACAAAAGAAATGAGCTTTGATCACATGTATCAGAGGTCATCCTGAAAAATGCTGATAAACAAATTTGGAGGCATGTTTTCCTAGACTGGGATGTTACTATGGCTAAAGCTCCAAAACACTCGCTTACTGCCCCTGGCCTAGTTCTCCGTGGGTGTCACTCTAGATGCAGGATGGCCCTTATCTGCTGACCTTTTAGCTCTAGTCTGGTGCACTGTACTGTCTTTCCTCGATAGGATACTACAAAAATTAAATATTAAAACAAATTCTAGTCTTCTCCATTTGGGACACATGCAGGTAAATAATTCAGGAATATTATCGACAAACTTCTCAACATTGCCCCAATTTGTGACATTTTAAATGCTACTGATTTTTAGATATGTGATTTTTTTTTTTTTTCAAATTATGGGACAATCGAGTTTGTGGGGACAAAATTCCACGTAAGCTATTTGGAGAACACTCTTGGTGTTACACGTCTTGAGACAGAAAACGGGAGTCCTAGGAACATAATAATCTGAAGGCATGTCCGTTCACCCTTTTAAAATGAGTACTGGCTTTAAAATTCTTCAAAGGTTTCCCAAAGTGCTATCAGACCGCAGCAACTAGAGAGAACATGAGGTGGCCCACCATTTCTCAGAGTCACAGAGCATCAGTCTCAACAATGATTTACTCCTCTCCCTTCACCTTGACAGTAATAAAGAGGCTCAGAGAAAAGTGTGTGCTAACGTTCATGTGTTCAACTCAAGGATATGTATGTTCAAAGCCAGACAATGAGTTTGCAGGACCTCTCCTGAGAGGCAACGGAGAAATAAAATAATAGGGCAGACCCAAATTCCAAGGTGCAGAGAAAAAGAAAGTGCAAGAGCCACTAAAAAGACAGGGGAGCCCTGAGTAGACAGCCCAAGACATCAAGAACAGAAAGAACAAAAATACGAAAGCAAGGTTACAACATCGACAAAGACCAAATGGTAGCAGCAGAGAAGGTATTTTTAAATTTAGTTTGCACAGAGCTTGCAAAGGACGATTCCAATACACGGAAGCTTCCAGCCGGTAACGAGCTTTCTGGTCTCTACTTTAATAACTGAAACCCCCTCTCCCCATCAACCTCGTCTTAAAATGGAGGCAGTAAAAACCACCAGATTGTACACTTGAATCTTCCCACTGGTAAGGGCGTAAACCACAAGCATTTTTGAAGGTGTGCTAACTATTTCAGGCCACTAGGGTGCTTCTTCCCGCCCGAAAAGGCACATTTCACTTAATGATCCCCATCTAAACCCCAAGAATTGATGTCCCTCTTAAAAAGTGTACCCTTTCTTCCTTACACCAGTGGCACCACACTAACTGTTCGGGAGGCATTTCAGGGTCCCCACAGGCGATGGAAAAGTAAAATGCAATTGTAATTGCACGGGCAATAACGCGGAAGGCAGGGGCAGAAAGAGTTAGCTCCTGCAGCGCAAGGCTGAGAAACACGGTTCCTTAGAGAGGCATCCACTCCACCCGAGAGGAGCCTGCGCTGCCGAGGAAGTGACCTCGGGAGAGCAATCACGCGCCTGGACAGAGGCGCGGCCGCGCGCTCCCGCCGCTCCTCCCTCCTGCGCGTCCCGGGCCGGCTCGGTCCACCTGTCCAGCGGGCGGGCGGACGGGCGGGGGCGCGGGTGCCCGAGTGGGGAGGAGCCGGGCTGGCCGGAGCACCGGGGCGGGGGCGGCGGCGGCGGCGGCGGCGGCGGCTCCCCTCGTGGTCCTCCCTCCCGCGGGCAGCCCCGCCGGGCCTGCGGCCCCTCTCCCCCGGAGCCCCCCGACTGCGTGCCCTGCGCCCTCCCCTCCCCCCCGCAACCGCGCGCGTCCCCCCAGCGGTCTGTACCTTTACTCTGGGGAGGGTTCTGACTCCGGTCCCGGAGGACGTTGATCTGGTAGACGGCTCCGTAAGGCTCAAAAAGTTCTTTCAGCTCCTTTTCCGACCAGGACCGGGGGATCTGTCCGACAAACATCTTAATGGCATCTGGGTCTGGTTGGTCTGAGTGATCCAAAGCGCCGTTCATCTTGTTGGTTGTGCCGTTACTGTCAAAAAGGGAACCGGGAGCCAGAGTTAGGGCTGCACGGTGAGGGACAGGAAGAAAAAGAATGGGGGTGGGGGTGGGGGCGGGGAGGCGGAAGGAGAAGGAAGAGGAGCACGGGGCAAAGTGCCTAATGAGTCGTAGAAATTTGATGAACTAAAACAAAGCACAGGCACCATTAGGTTGCTCCGCGGCGGCAGCGGCTGCGGGCTCTCACTGCAGGCTGCTATTCAGCATCGCCGCCCGAGCACAGGGCAGCGCCCCGCCGGCTGTCACCCGGGGCGTGGACATCTTGAAGCCCGGCTCGGGAGGCAGCTGCAAGTTAAGTGCAGGTCTCGCTCTGCAAGGCTGCCACCAACGCATCCGCAGCGTTATCAGCCCCACACTCGCTCTCGTGTGCAAAGAAGGGCAGGGCTGGATTTCTGCTGGATTCTCCCCCGCCGCCGCCGCCGCCGCCCCACCCCCCGCCCCGCCTTTTGGAGGTTTATTTGGAAGAGAGGAGAGGTGGTAATAATAAAGTCACATGAAAAGAAAATGAAACACTTGGCAGTCCGTCAGATGACTAATGCAAGATGCTGGTGATGAATTTGCAGAGTGCGCGAGGCATCCATGTGTGCATCAAATTAGTACGTTGTTGCTGCTCAGAATGGAAAGTGCTCCAGCAGTGTAGCTCGGCGCGGCGGATTGGCTGCCCACGCTGGAGAAAAGGACCGGGGCGGGGCGGGGGCTCCCGTTTAAAAAGCGCATTGTTTATGGGATCCAGGCACAAAGGGTTTAATTCAGAGAGGCAAAGGCGATCTCAGAAATGCCTGCTTTGTGCTGGGAAAAAAAAAAAAAAATGCAGCCCCAGAAAGTTGAGTTCCCACTAAAGGACACTGAATATTTCAAATCTTTCACACTCCATAAATTGCTCCCTGTATATCTGACTTCCAGATGTTGTACTTGAGTTCTAAACAATCACACGTTTGGGAGAGAAAAGAGGAAAGTCTGCCTTTTCTTCTCTTAGCTTCAGTAAATATTTGGGGCTGATACAAAGAGCAAGACCATAAGCTTTTACATATCAATCTTTTTTAATGCTGTTTTCCAAAACCCTCATTTGGAAGAGAGAACGCTCTCATTTAGAATTCTGCCATTCTGGTCAACATCATGTTATATGATGATGAAGACATTCTTTTTTTTTTTTTTTTAAATTTGGATCCCTCCTGTTTGAGCTGCAATAAACAGTAAAGCAAAATCCCCTACCTTCTTCATTCCTCCCAACACTCCTTAATGCACCCTAAAAGCCACCTACTCTGCCAAGTGACAAGGCTGAATGCCCTGAGCAGCATTCATTTGCAGTGCTGTGTTCTTGATTTAACATCCCATCCTGTGAAAATAAAATGCACCTAAGCAAGTGCAAACCCTGCAAATATAGTACCTACAAAGCCACTTCCATGACCATGGGCTGGCCCCCAGCTCAGGAGGCAGAAAGGTCAGAAAGGGGCCACATGGACTAAAACTTCACTGCAAATGGCAGGTGTTATTTCCCCGTAGCCTGGGGGTAATAATTAGAAGATATTCAAGGATCTTAAGCAGGGTTCCTTATTAGGTTAAAGCCCATAATCAAGGACCACCAGAGCACCCCTAGTCTGCTGTGGACCTAGCTAGGGTTGCCCTGAGCCCCGGAGAAAAAAAGACCCTGGGTGATGGCTAAAAGACAAACAAAAAGCCTGCAGAAAGGAGAAATCCTGAATTCAATTTAATCCCGAGAGGAAAACGATGGCAAATACTCTTCACTAGGTCCTGGCTCCAATTTCCACTTCTTCTCATTCCCCCTAGTTTACCACTTAAATTTTTTTTTTTTTATTCTTGAGATAAACAATCAGACTGTCTAACTTGAAGCACTTTCAGAGCTTTCTCTAATCAACCTTATTGTTATAAAAAACGGTCTGCTGAATAAAATTTTGAGTGCAAAATCTTTCAACAATTTAGGTGCAATGTGATGCTTGTTTATGGTAGAGGTTGATCGTTTATCTTGTTCTTAGGCACCCATACCTCTTTACAAATCACCCTGTGCAAATTCAGTGAACGCTGTAACCCCGCCGAGCTGATTCTGGCACAGTGGAGGTGGCAAAGCCCCACGCAGAACAGAATGTCGTGCTCACAGCTCGTTGAGAGCAGGGAGTGTGGCAAGATGTATTTCTGGGACAGGAAGGGCTGTGGTTACTGCTGCTGACAACCGGCCAGGATGAAAAGAGGAAGGCGTTGCCACAGGTCTCAGCTAACAGGGAACGGAAGTTCCAAAAATGGGGCTCTTGCATCTTGGCTCTACAGAGCACAGTTAATACAATGGAGGCGTTAGGGGACGGTATCCCAGTCCTCATGCCTGAACTTAGAGCAAGCCTCCCATAATTGCCTTCCCCGTGAGGGTCCTTATTTCGTTTCCTCAAAAAATACTCACCAAGGCGCCCAAAGGAAGGGAGGCAGACAAGAGGGCTTGCGCCTCATGCCTTTGCTCTTTATGTTGGTAGGTGCATATTTATAACCCTTCCCCATCAGCCATCCTGCAGAGATGCCTGCAAGACCGCTGATCATCCTGAGGCAGTGGGCTTGGTCAGGGCTCGGGGCACGGGCTCTGAATTCCGGGGCCAGCCCTTCCAAACTGTGCCACTCTGGGCTTAAACTCTTCATCTGTAAAATGGGAGTTGACAGATGCCTTGTCACAGAGTCGGGTGTCGGCTACAGAACATAGCCCAGAATAAGTGTCTAAGAAGTGCTGGCTTTTTCTACTGTTAAATCGCGTCTTTGCAGTTGTGATGCACTCGGAATGAGTGACAATTATAAATCTTCTTTTCAATCCCCAATTTTTCATAGTGGAGACTCAAACACAATTCATATCCTAAATAGTAATGCCTATTCTTTAGTGAGGACATACATGCCAGATACCGTGTGAGGTGCTTTACACTCATTATTTCTAATCCTTGTAACAACCCTATGAGAAAGTTTTATTTTCTGGATGCAAACATTGAAGAATTAAGTTCCTTTCTTAAGGTTACTGGCTTATATACTGTAGAAGCAGAATTCAAACCTAGGCCCAATGGGCTCCAAAGCACGAAATATTTCTAATCCATCATGTGGCTGAACACTGTGTCAGGTCTCCCTTGGGCTGAGAGTGAATGGCTCAGGGTAAATCTAAGAGAAGACAAGGCCAAGAGCAAATCCTATTGGGTCCCTAGAATCACACTGTCAAATAATAGGCAGCACTAAACACACACACACACACACACACACACACACACACACACACACACACACACTCCACCATCTATGAAAAGGAGGGGGCCAACGGCTGAACTTGTGGCTCCATTAAGACTATGTTAAAACACACATTTTTCTCAATCATCACATAACAACGTCTCCATCTCCACAGATCTCCTTCCTCTCTCCATCCCCACAGGGTGACATCAATGAGCATCTCTCATCCACATCTACACATTATTTCCCAACTCCTGGCCATGCTGCAAACAACTGTTCCAAAGATTATCATCGAATGCTAAGCGCATGACAATCCTTTAAGTAAATCCAACGTCTATTTCTTACACAAACTACCACAACAGCACATCTTCTCAATCAAAAGCTTCTGTGCAGGACAGGTGGACCTAACCCCACCGACCCCACGTTGCTGAATCCCTCGCCGAGTCCATAATGGTACTACAACAGGCTGGTTAACTTTTGCTCTAATGCAGGCAAGCTCCTCCTTCTCTGGACTCCCAGCTTTCTTCCTGGCTGATGCTTGTTTCTAGCAGAGACTTACTGACTTCTTTTGTCCTCAGGAGGCTGTACGCGCTGACACTTCTAAGGAAGCCAGAAATTATGTGTCCAACAGTTAAACCTTTGGGGGTACTTGCCAGAGGCCACAGAGAGCCAATGTGCTCTTCACAGAGGGGTAATTATGGGAAAAGATAACCTAAATCTCAATAAGATCGTCTATTTACTAGACTCTGACCTCAGGCTTACAAAATTAGACTAGCTCACTTCTCTGTATTCCCTAGCCATCTTTAGCACCTATTACAGGGCAGGAATTAGATTCAAATTCAAATACTTATTGAGAGCCTCCTCTTTGCCAGAAAACTCTGCCAGGTACTTGACATACGATATCACAACAGCTCCACAAAGTTGGCATGATCACCCCTGTTCTGGAAATGACGCCACTGAGAGTCATGGAGGTAAAGTGACTTTTCCCACATCACACCCCTAAGAAGAGGCGTCTGCAGAATCTGGACACATTAAGATGTAAAGGCCAATTGCTCAGTATTCCATAAGCTGCGTTTCTCGAGGCTGAGGTCTCCTGAAGACTGAGTGGCCACTCACAGGCACCGGACGAAAGCGCACACGTCTTGGCTGGCATCTCACCTACAAACTACAGGAGACCGAGCGCCAATTCTGCTCTTGCTCTCGGCGAGGAGCCAAATGTAAGGCTCCTCTAGGACAGATGCCATATGGAATCGGACCATGAGTTAGAGAGCACCAAGCCAGCGAGCACTGGTGGTATTGGTCTCAGAGCCAAGACGAAAACATAATGATGTTTGGGGCGCGGGGGCGGGGGGGGGAATGAGCGCGCTTACTTTTTTGCTTTTAGCACATGCACTGACCTACTTCCCTACTCTATTTTTGCGTAAAGAAAACTAGATCAACAGAGGATATGCAAAATCTTCTGAGGTTCCTCTAAGCAGTCAAATGTTACCAAAATTATAATAATTGATTCAACATATCATTGTTCTTAATTCCAGGACAATAAGCTTTTATAAGGCCCAGTGAAGTGCAGGTTTCCTTTTGGAGAGTGGTAACAAAACACTGATGGTTCCTTTCATCTTGTTGCCTGGAAAGCACCTTTCTGCATTATATCTCCTCTAATCTATAGGAAAACTAGAATAACAAATTTACAAAATGGGTATAAGAAATGATAAGTGGCTATAAGTAATTGTACTAATGTTGAAAAAAAAAAAAAAAGACATAAAATGCCCC